GAAGAGCGGGTGGAAAAACGCTCTGAATCGGTGTTTCCAGGCTCCGCCGCGACGCGCCGGGGGTCCCGCCGAGGCCACCCCGTCCCCCAGCCTGGCGGGACCAGTCCCGGCTAATTAATGGGAATTAAACTTTGATGACGGTTGCTGGTTTCGGTTTCAGAGCTTCTCTTGCCGGGGAAAGCCCCGCCGCGGCGGCAGGAGGGCATCTGGCGATCGGCTCTGCAAATCAACCCAAATTAATCGGAATTAGTTCATAACAACGTGAATTAATCGGAATTAGTTCATAACCACGCGCATTAGTCGGAACGAGCAGCTCAAACCCCGTCCCCGCTCCCCCAAGGTACCATCTCTATTCTCTTTACAGACCACAGCCCAATAAACACTGGGATAAATGGATTTTTTTTTATTATTCAAGGGGATCCTGCTAATTAATCGGGATATTTTGGGATAAAAGAGTGGATTTAAGAGGAGCGCGGGAGGCTGGAGGCCCCGGCCCCCAACGCTCCCACCTCCGTTCGCCGCCAGGACGATGGGGACGGATGGAAAATGGTTTACGGGGGTGGAAGCGCCGTACGGGTTCTCCGGGGCGGCTGAGGGACCGGGGGAGAGCTCCCTGCGCCGGCAAAAGGGAATTGGGAGCCGTCTGCGGAGCTGGGGAAGGGCTGGGAGGGGATGTGGGGGGGATGCGGGCCAGGGGGCTGAAGGCGGCCGGGAGGGGACCCACAGAACCCGAGGTTCCCCCCCAGACTTCGGGGAGCGCCGAGGCCAGGCCAGCGCGGAAAAACCCAGCGCCGAGGAGGCCGGGGGAGCCGATGGCGGGCTCCCGCTTCGGCGAACGATTCCTGAACCCCTTCGCTTTCGTATTTTATATAAACAATTAAATTAAGGATGAAAATTAAGGATGGGAATGAAATAAATAGGAAAACTAAATAAACCAAGTATGAAATAGTTACATAAATGGAAAGAAAAATAAGCTCAATACGTAACTGTCATGTACGTAAACAAAAACAAGCTAAGTATGAAATAGTTACCCGTGTGTAAACAAAAATAAACTAAGTATGAAAGTTACATATATGTAAACAAAAATAAGCTAAATACGAAATAGTTACATATATGTAAACAAAAATAAGCTAAATACGAAATAGTTACATATATGTAAACAAAAATAAGCTAAATATGAAGTAGTCACATACATACAAACAAAACCAACCCAGGCACGAGCTGTCTGCGTAACAGAACCAAACCCAGAGCCGCTGTTCTATCGCCAGCAGCTCTGAGCCATCCGAAACAGGGAAATCCCAGAGCTCCGCGTCCGGGCGCGGGGCAGAGCCGCGAGGCCCCCGGCCCCCGCACCGGGGTC